ATGCAACTATGTACCTGTAACTCCCATCTTTAGAAAATAAAATAAGGCAGAAAAAACAATCACCAGCCATGACAGAATCTTCTTTGATCCCATGTGACCCCTATTATACTCATAGTCATGAATGAGATCCATCTTGCCAAATCAAAGAGTGTCCTTCTTTTAATTGAACTCAGCACTATTTAGTACAGTTAACTACCATCAACCCCTTTCCAGAAATGGTTTTTCTCTCAGCTTTTTTGACAAAAATTTCTTCTGGTTCTCTTTCTACTTCATTAGCTTCTCATCCTCAGTAATTATTTATACACTCTAGGACTTGGTCTTGGACCCTTATATTTCTTCTCCATCCAATCTCCCAAGCTGATTTCATCCATTCCCAGAGCATTAATAACATTGACATGTTTTTGACTTTCACGTTCCTTACTACAATCTTCATATCCAGGCTTATATATTCAGCTATTTGATACATTCAGTTGGATGTGTAATAGGTATCTCACATTTAACATGCCCCTACTGGACCTTGCAGAAGCCTCCTTCACATCTTGCAGCTCAAATATCACCTCCTCAGAGAAGCCTTTCCATCTTGCTTCCCTCATTCCCCCATTTTACCTCTCCCTCCCTACTTCTTTGTTACCTTGTTTACTTCCTATTCTCCCCAGGTAGCATATAATCTTTGCGAGGGCAGAAGTGTTGTCTGTCTTCTCCATTGCTCTATTCTAATACCTAGAATGATGCCTAGCACATAGTAGAGGCTCTATAGATACTTGTTTAGTGAACAAATATGCTTGTTACACAATTATGGAAGACTTCAAATCTTGTCTGGTCTTCTCTGATAAATTTATCTTTTCAACCAAAAACTTCACCAACTGTCTATTAATCAAAAACATATTTATATATCCATAAAAGTTACTGCCTGATAAATATTACTAGAAAGTAAGCTTTTCAGAAAAATGGACAATGGGATGTTAAAGTTTAGATTTTTTTCTTTTTTATAATTTTTTAAATATGTGTATTTTTGAGAGACCGAGAGAGAGAGAGAGACAGAGAGAGAGAGAGAGAGAGAGCGTGAGCATGCATGAGCGGGGAAGGGGCAGAGAGAGAGAGACAGGGAGACACAGAATCCAAAGCAGTCTCCAGGCTCTGAGCTGTCAGCACAGAGCCCAATGTGGGGCTAGAACTCATGAGCTGTGAGATCATGTCCTGAGCTGAAGTTGGATGCTTAACTGAGCCACTCAGGCACCCCTAGATTTTTATTTTCAAAAGGTCACTGAATGAGACCCACAAGTGGCCATCATACTGCTACATCTGACAAGCTACCCTGTCAGGGACACAGAAACACTAAGCCACCATCACTTGGATCATCAATGAATGACCATGCTGTCCCAGGTCATACTTCCTGCCATAGCTACAGTGGCCTCCTCTGAAGAATGCAGAATTTCTAGCACCAGCTAAAATGTAGGTAACAAGGTAGGCCCTTTCAGAAAGGGCAGTCATGTCTTAACCCTGAACCATTTCTTTCTGAATATACAAGACAAATTTGTCATAGGCTTATCCCTAAGGAATTGTTTTAGTTCCTTTATCCTGAAACATGTCAAAGGACTTATCTTGTATTTCTTATCCAAAGAAATACATGAGACTGCCCCAGAAACCTTATCTACCATATCAACAGTAGGGTTGCTCATCTATGTAATTAGAAAATATGGTACCTCATACTGTAAACAGATAATAAGAAAAAAAAAATCCCAACTAGAAGAAGAGAAGCAGGCTCCCATCAAATACATCCAGGATGTGACTGATTCAGAGAAGTCATAGCAGGCACTAGTTCAGAAATGTCATTATCTTTTTGTCCAGAGGAATAATGCTGCCATGGCCTTGGTGGTTGCTTACTAGGAATGGCTGTATCAAGTACACAAGGAGGTAAAGAATTGCCTGTGCAGAATATGATGCATCAGAAGGAAAAAGACCTCATGATAAACTGGGTAGAGAAATACACTGTGGAGAGCACAACTGCCCAGAAGCAAAGGAGACAACTGCCAAATGTATTTTAGATCTGAAGCTGCTTGCAAAGAAAGCTCAAACACAGTTTGAACATGCATCTATCTTTATTGAAACAGCTATAGTAGATTTACTAAAGGGAAACTAGTCTATATGACAAATCTCTTGGTCTACCGTTTTGGACTAATGTTATATTTTACTGCAGGTCATAGTGATAGGGAGGTTCCCACCTTTTTGCAGGCTTTTGCTCTAGGAACTCCACCAGGCTGTCACAGAGAGAATCGAGGGAATCCAGATAAAGTTCCTACCATGGTTCTGGCTCGGGGAGAGTAACAGCAGTCACTGTAAAATCTGCCCAAACCATTCTCCCTTGGGAAACAAAGCCTTCATCTGCAAGTGGCCCTACTTCCGTGTACTAGTGGACTGCTACTGCAGCTGGGGGGAAGAGAGCTCTGCCCAGACTTGCCCCCCATATCTCACCTAAGTGGAGGGGGAACCTCACACAGGCAAGGGCTTTAAGGTTACAGACTGAGCTAGCGGATACCGAAAGGGAAGAGTAAACAATGAGAATGCTATATTTGTATGGACATAAGATTTTTCATATTGAAGAAAGTCAAGTATCTACCAAAGTGCCCAAAGTGATGGTGTTAGGAAGTGGGGCTTTTGGGTGCTTAGGTCATGAGGGTGGAGCCCTCCGAATGGGATGTGCTGTCATAAAAGAGACCCCACAAAGCTCCCTAGCTCTTTCCACTACGTGAAGACACAGCAAAAAGTTAGAAAAACTGGAAAAATCAGTGAAATCTGATTTCACAAAGCTCCCTAGCTCTTTCCACTACGTGAAGACACAGCAAAAAAGTTAGAAAAACTGGAAAAATCGGTGAAATCTGAATAATGTCTGGTGTTAATAGTAATGTAATAATGTTGGTTTCTTAGCTTTGACAAACGTACCATGGTAATATAAGATGGTAACATTAAAGGAGAAACTGAAACTGAGTGAGGGTTGTAGGAAATCTCCCTGTACTACCTTTGCAACTTTTTTGTAAGCCTAAATTATCCAAAAGAAAAAGTTTATTTATTTATTTTTTTTTTAAATTTTTTTTTTTCAATGTTTATTTATTTTTGGGACAGAGAGAGACAGAAGAAAAAGTTTATTTTTTAAAAATGATGGGTATTAAGGAGGGTACTTGTGATGAGCACTCGGTGTTGTATGGTAAGTGATGAGTCACTAAATTCTAGACTTGAAACAAATATGTTAACATTTTAGTAGTAATGCTCTATGTTAACTAACTTAATTTAAAAACTTAAAAAAATGACCTTCAGCATATAATATAGGTTTTGAAGAATTGTGAATGACAAGTGAAAATACTCATGATAGACTTTGAAATGCAAAAAAGGAGCTTAAAAGCTACATATACCGCCCCTTCCCCCACCCCCAGATTATCAATCTATTAAGAGAGAGATGCTTAGAGAAAAAGAAGTAAATATACTAAGGTATTAAATAGTTACCTCTTAGTGCTGAGCTCATAGATTTAAAAAAAAGTGTTTTTTTTGGTATTCTCAAATGTTCTGCAATGAACAGTAATATAAGATGTATTGACTTTGTATCATTGTGTTTAAGTATTTTTAATTTTACATCACGGTATTTAAGTTTTGGGAGAGCAACGAGAAGAGTAAACATCACTCAACAAGTTTACTTCCTCTTCTGGGGAAGGAGTTAGTATGCTTTCACTTGTACGCAGGATAGTTGTATCAAGTTAAGCAGAATTATGATCTTGTTGTTGTCTTTATTTGGAGATCAAGTGTGAGTTAAGAAGATATGTATGGATGCCAAGTTGATAAGGGGTAGACTTGTTAATTTTATGTGTTAACTTGAATGTGCCACAGGATGCCTACATGAAACATTTAGGGGTGTGTCTGTGAATGTGTTTTGGGATGAGATTATCATTTGAATCCATGGACTTTGTAGACTGTCCTCCCAAATGTCCAAATGGCATTGTCCAAGGAACAATTTGCCTCTTTTTTCTTTCTGGCTGCCTGCTTGAGATGGGACATTGGTCTTGTCCTGCTCCCAATGTGGAATCTATACCATCAATTATCCTGGTTTCAGGCCTTCAGACTCAGACTGGAATTACATTGCTGGCTTTTCTGGGTCTACAGTTTGCAGATGGCAGACTGTGGGACTTCTCAATCTCTATAATCATGTGAGCCAATTCCTCATAATAAATCTCTTCCTTATACATATATCTTATTGCTTCCATTTCTCTGTAGAATCATGACTAATACAATTTCCAATTTGAATCTCTTTTCTACAAAAAGGTCTATAATATCCCCCAAATCTTAATAGGTCTTGCCTTGTATGACTCTCTTGATCTCCTTTGGACTTTGAGACACAAGACAGCATATGCTGGACTACATTGTCTGACAGGTGTGCAATTTTAGGCCTTATCTTTTCAACCAGAATTTAATAATCTTGAAAGTAAGAGTTTCAGCTCTTATTTCTTCTGTGTGTATTTTCCTCCATTTGTTCACTTATTTGTTCATTCATCTATTCACTCATTCAACACACTTGCTGAGTTCCTACTATATGCCTACTATACTGCTAACCAAAACAACAGTGAGCAGCACCAGACTGCTCCCTTTATTCTCAAGGAGATTTCAGTTTAGTTGGGGATGCTGAAATCAATAAGACAACCACAAAACATATGCTTAATTACAAGCCCTGGTAATGCTTTGAAGGAAATACATTTCAGAGTCCATTAAGGGGAACTTAACCTTGGGTGCAGAAGACAGTGTACAAGGCAAGAAAGGCTAATCTGGAAGAAGTTCTGTTTAAGCTGAAGAATGAGCAGGTTTTCACTAACTAAGGTAGAAAAAAAGGGTAGAGGTGTGAAAAGAGTGTTCTGGTTGGAAGTTCTGGGATGGAGAAGGTGCACAGGGCCACAGTAATGCACACAATAGGCTTTAAGAGACAGGTGCTATGTATGGCTGACCAAACATTTGCTACAAACCATTTTCTGCAGTCTCTTCTCTTCTTGTTTTTTCTTAAGCTGAGCTTCCTTTTCTTCTGCTTCCCTCTTCTGACGGTCCTCCTCTTGGGCCTTTAACTGGGCCTAATCAACATTAGAGTCAGTAAACAATGAGAATGCTGTATTTGTATGGACATAAGATTTTTCATATTGAAGAAAGTCAAGTATCTACCAAAGTGCCCGCTCTGTCCCTGCAAGAAGCCTATACTTCATGATAAAAGTAGAAAACCCAACAAATAGGTGATCACTTGTGTAACTTAAAAGTATCTCCAAAATAATTATCTTCTACTTGGGAAGGTGATACTAAGCAAGAAAAGGACATTACTTTTTCAGTAAAAAATAATTACTTTTTAGTTATTTTCACCTGTGAAACACTAAGTCCAAACTCTATAAAGTGTCGGAAAAATTTCTTTCATTTCACACTCAAAACCCCCCCAAACTGTTGGAACTATTTATTTTTTCTTACTAGGTACAAAATTTACTTTTGACAGTCTAGGTCACAACTCTGTATGACAGGAACTACTCAGCTTTGCAGCTTACCAGATCAGACATCTAAATCTAAATGTGCAGATCTTCCCAATTGCTGGCTCTCCTCAACTTTTATAACATTTCCTTCCTGCTACACTAATGGTGTTTCTGTTTTTTACCTTTGTTTTCCTAAAATTTTCACAGAGTTCAGGCCAGTGGGTAAAAAGCCATTTCTAAAGTTGGCCTAGCTCTCTTGTCTCAAAACACTTAAACAAGCTAGGCCTCATTTTTTTTTTTTTAAATAAAGACCTATACGAATCTTTTTTCTTGCCTGGGGTTTCATTCTTGATTTACCAATTTCTCCTCTTCTTGTTTTTTCTTCCTCTCTGCCAAGATCCGCCTACGTTCAGCTCGCTGAACTGCTCTCTCTTCCATGGCTAGAAAATAGTAACAGAGCTCCGATATAAAAAATATAAGGAACATTGCAAAAGAAATGTCTCCACATTTTATAGCAAAATTTAGTGTTACTGTTAGGGTTTTCTTGCCGGTTGAGTGTTTACAATCTCAGAAACATTTATTTGTTGGTAAATATATAAATAAAAAATTCATATAAAATAGAAGTTGTAGTTGCTATTTATAAATATATGAGTATATATGTGTTACTTATATACCCCGTACAAGTTAAAGACCTAAAATCCTATCCTCAGCAGTGATGAACAATTTGCAAATTGTTTTTTTGTTTACTTTTCTATTAGAATAAATGTTTACTGATTTAAATAAGATAATGTGCCTTGATGATACTTTTCTTAATGAAACCCAGAAACCAGAATTCTTTTTTAAGTAGGCTTCATGCCCAGCATGGAGCCCAACGCGGGGCTTGAACTCATGACCCTGAGATCAAGAGTCGGGCGCTTAACCGACTGAGCCACCCAGGTGCCCCCAGAAACCAGAATTTTAATTTGATCATTTCTTTAACGAATGTAGAAAACTTTAAATACATCTGACACAGACTTTGACAGTACAATTAGTCTTCAAATCCCATTGGGTCTGCTATTTTTCCCTAAGTCATTATACTACATGCATACATGTAAGTACGTCTGTAGGTGAAACGACAACAACAAACAAACTGAAGTTTGGGGTCACGATGAATATATTAAAATTTAGTTTTAAGGCATGAATAGATATCCAGATGGGCAGAAAATGGAATTGTACTAGGCATTTAGAGAATTGGCATCTGAGTGAATTCAAGTGTCAGACTCCTGTGCTTGACAGTCTATTAAATATCGATCCAAAAGAAGCAAATGTGCAAGATGGTCTGATAATATGACTCTGTCATCAGTTGGGCTTTTACAGGAAGATGGGCACGGGTGGGAGGAGTATCAAGTTCTGCCCACCTAAGTCAGCCAAGTTACTTTTGGTTCCTTGTGCCGTGATAGGAAAAATTTAAGTCCAACTTTCAAGAATTAATAAACAAAAAACTCACCAGGCTATTTCTTACAGATAGTAAGTGTCTGCTTTCCTAGAAAAAGAATAGTGGGAAAGCTGCAGATGGCGGCAGTGAGGCTGTCTTCAAGGAGGCAGAAATAGACTAGAGGATTAAAGCAAGAGCCCTGAAGAGCAGAGTCTCTGGTAATAAGCGCTTTCCCCATGTTTTCTAGAGCGAATCATTAAAGACTACTTGAAAAGGAGCCTGCAGTTCTAAAATAGGATAACCCCTTGATCCAAACAATAATTTTTTAAAAACAAGCACACTGAACTAGGCATTTCCTGACCATCCTCAGGGGTAGACAAAGATGGCATAGATTGCTGTCCTGGCAAAGAGTCAATGCAAAGCCTGCTACTTTCTTCATGAAAAGGAAGGACTTCAGGCACAGCGTGCCTTCAGGTGACGTCACTTCTTATTAGGGCAACTATCTTGCCATAGGTGAAAAATCAGATTTACAAACCACAATATAACTGAACTGCTAATGTGCCTACCTCTATATACAAACATATACAGTGCATGACTGAGTATTCAGTAAAAACAATTAGCAGATTCACTAGGTGGAGAATGCTTTTCTTCTCATAGCATTATTTGGTTTAAATAATGATTACCACATGCATCAAAATGTTATTATCACCATCAAGGTGCAACTCATTATAAGATGATGTAGTAACTTGATGTGGATTGCTGTAAATGGATCAATATTTTAAGGTTAACAAAGTATAATGTCAGGTGATCTTTATCAGTGTTTGTTGTTAGCAGTTACTCAGAGTTTTCTCATTAGTGTAACTGTCCCATTTTTTCCCCACAGTCCAAATCTCATATTACAGAAAGATGATGCATCTTTCAGTTTGTTTTTGTTCTTTTTGTATTGGTTGGGAAGGCCAAAAAGTTTGGCAGAAGGGGGCAGGAAAAAAGCCGTGGAACTCTCTGGTGCACTGGTCTCCTCACATCTTTGACCAGGTTCTGCCAAGTCTCAAAACCCAGGAGTTGGCTGGGATTCAGTCCCAGCATATCCTATTTCAGGAAGGAAGATAACCCCCACCAGACCACCACCAAGACCGCCCTGCCTTTCAGTATGGGGTGGGGTGCCATCAGCTGCCTTGGGTTCCTTCGGGCTCCAGAGAGAGAATTTTGGGAGTCACTTCTACTACCATCAGTCCCAGGGGAAGCAACAGGCGAGCTGGGGGTTAAAAAAAAAAAAAAAAAAAGGAAAGAATTCAGACCAATAACCAGCATTGTTCAAAACTCTTGAGCCTGAGGAACTCAAAGCATTTCACAAATTTTCATTATCTTTACTAAGATAACTGCATATTATACCCACTCGATAAATTGGTGTGAGGAGGCATGGGAAGGTTGAGTGACTGGCCTCAGTCTGCAAGGTGAGTCAGGTGCTCAGACTCCCATCCCAGGGCTTCAAATCAATAGGTATCTATCACCCACTTCTTATCCTACCATTTATCACATGTATTGAGTATGTCACAAGCATGTCTGAAACCACTTTTGAGAAATCTGGATTCTTATTTCAGGCTCAAAGATGTTTACTTTTATCCAAACCAACTACACATTTAACCTAGGTATTTAGCCAGTCCAGGGGATGCTCCATTTGCACCTAATATTGTCCAACCAGGCTTCTCAGGACTAAACATAATCAGAAACCCAGAAATCAAGTTAGAGTAAGCAAGGAAGCATTATTCTCTTTTACTGGTATAGCAACAGGGCTCCTCAGACAAAGATAGCCACAACACAAATGCTAACTATATAACTCATAGGTCACTAGTGGCCTCAAATATCTATGAGAAAGGGGCTTCTTTCTTTTGAGAGTACACAATAAAAGAAAGGGAGAGATCATGGAGTCTGGAAGCTGGTCAAAGAAGTTCAGGGGCCTCTCAAACACTAGGTGAAAAAACCCAAATCATGAGTCCAAAGAGTGTGCTGATATAATGGACATACTTTGGAAGCACCTGGCAGGTTCTTTTAGGTTCTTTTCCTCTGGGGTTTGACAGCTGGCAGCTCTGTGCATCTGCGACTGCTGCAGCCCTCTCTGCTGCCCACCGAGCCTCTGCTAACCGCTGGCTTTCCTTCAGCTCTAGAATTGTTTTCTGCTGTTCCTGAAGTTTCTTCTTTTGCTTTTCAATCAATTGTTGCTGGAGGACATGGCGGTTATGGAAATGACCCATGCACATGGATTCTGCTTTCTGGCTGGTGGTTCTGATGATCTTGTTGCTGCCAGGCTGTTGGGACGGCTCAACATCCTGGGTCTCGTGCTGCTTATTGTCATATGTGTTCAAAGGGACATGCTGGAAGGGAAAATGCAAGCTGCTCTTTGTTGGTCTTCCTAGATGGGGGCTGGGCATGTAATCACTGCTCCCTGAAGGAGGCTTTTCCCACAAAGGTGGCCCACCAGTCACCTGAGAAAGAAGGAGCATGTTACAGTTCAGCTATTTAAAGGACTATGTTGAAGAGATCCAACCTCATCTAGTCAGCCTTGTTTGGTTCAATGGCACAACTGCCCTGTGCTCTTGGCCTGGCTATCTCAGAGGCTACCAGCCATAGATCTGTGAGCTATTCTCAGAATGTGCACTGCTGCTCACCATGGAAACTAGGTGGGCGAGTGGCTACAGTTGTACAAACCATTGCCGTGGGCCAGGACATTTACAATAAGAAAACTGTGCTCTTAGAAATTTCTAATTTGGATAGTTAATTTGTCAATTAGGCAGGATTATTCCAGATATATATTACAGGAATTTTAATCTGCATGAATTAACTCTGAATTTTGTGGCAAAGGATATACTCTCCGTCAAGAATGTTTGAAAACTGGGGCACCTGGGTAGCTCAGTCAGTTGAGCATCCGACTTTGGCTCAGGTCATGATCTCGTGGTTCATGAGTCTGAGCCCACGTGGGGCTCTGTGCTGACAGCTCGGAGCCTGGAGCCTGCTTCGGATTCTGTGTCTCCCTGTCTCTGTCTCTCCCCCACTTGTGCGCTCTCTCTCTCTAAAAAATAAAGAAATAAACTTTCAGAAAAAAATTAAATAAAAAAGAATGTTTGAAAACTAGCAAATACCTTTACAAATGAATAATAGCTCTGTTCTCTCAATGCCCCTCTTGCCACAAATAAATTAATCACAGGGTATGTATGTATGTTATTTATTCACCTATTCATTCATTCATTTTCAGAATCAAAGCCTGGATTAAAGTTTATAGTCTCCAACTATTCCCAGACTATCTGTGGGAAATATTTGCAAGCCCATGACCACTGGGCAAATATCTGCATTATATAATACTATTATCGATAATACAATATTTTAGCATATGAGTTAAAGCTTTATCATATAACAGACCTCATTCAACAGACTGAGATATCATACTTATTATTCGTTCGTATAAGTTCTATATAGAGGGGGAGGAAACAGAATTCTTAATCAGAAAAACTAATCCTGACCAAAATAACACAGTTAAAATGTCTCTTCTAGGTTCTGTGTCCTAAGGTCTGACCAGTTTTTGATTCTGCCATCTGCAATGATACAGGGAGAAAAATACTATGAACTATCTTATATCTTAGAAGCTTTTAGCTAGAGGGTACCATACTAAATATTTTTCACGATGATGGAAATATTTCCTATAGACTCAGCTAAAGTGAAAAATATGGTATATGGAAACTCTGACATGTTAAAGACTAAAAAATAACCTTCTATTTCAGAAATGTCAATGGATATTTATTTGCGAGAACATCTGCTTAAGTAATTTAGCATCAAGCAGGGTATACGTTTTAGGCCCTTTTAAACTTTGTGATAATGGTGCATTATTAACCCAGCAAGACTGTAAAAGCCTTGGGTACAGCAAAATTTCATTTGGATCACAGTAACTTTTCAAGGTAAAAATAAAAGAATGAAAGAAAGCTTAACGGTACTTGCTGTATTTGGTGAAGCAGGACTGAACAGGCTGGTGTAATTAGCGAAAATCATCTATAAGCTGATAATTTTGAAAAATTTCAAGGTATAATGTATGCATCTGTGGTACATTAGTCCCTTTAATTGTGTTATTAGTGAGCATCTTACTAAAGATTTTATATTTTATTTGTGTTATATTCTACACTGTGGAAAACGTTAGGGTTTATCTAATAACCTACAGAGTATTATATCCTTTTATTTCCACTTGCTTTATTTTTTATAATATTCTTTTAAGAATATCTTTTTCAGAGTTGATTTCAGAGATTTAAAGGCTTTTATTTCTTTTTATATCTTACATATAGTAAGAAAATTAGACATAGTAACTTTTCTGTTTTATGAAAATAAAAAATACTTTGTTGTCTTTTCTAAATTTAAAGATAACAACAGTGTAACTTTGTAAAGTAAAAGGTTCCACACAGCTATTTCTTAAGATAGAGGACTCTCTTGGGTCTCAATGGAAGTAAAATTATCTAGCTGACATAAGGTTGATAAATTGCCTAGGGGAAGGGACCAAAATGTTACATAAGTCCCAATAAGCATCCTCATGATAGCCCTTTGCTAAGAGACTAGGTTTAAATTAAAACCAGCCTACTGACTGGCAGAAATCAGGGTAAAAAGCAAGACTGGGGCCCCTTTAGTGCCCAGTTTATTTTACATGTCTGAGTTAAGTGCTCAACAGTGTTATGTGAAAGATTGGAGGGGTTTGGGGTGAAGGTGAGGTGGCAGGGGACCTTCCCCAAAGGGCTTTTCAAATATGACAAGTATAATTATGAAAGAAAAAAATCTATAAAAACTTAACTCTGTATAGTACCAAACACCAAAACTTACCCAAAAGGACAAAAAAAATGAAACAATTTTGCAAAATACGTCATAATAAAAGCATCAATAGTCTAATATAAAGAGCTCTACAAATAAGAAAAATATATATAATCAAGCAAAAAAAAGTATAACGACATGAAGAGACAAGTCACTAAATATCTATATCCATTTTCACACACACACACACACACACACACACACACACACACA